TGCTGTGAGTCATCTGCTCCGGTAAGTCGAAATGGGGGTGGCAGTGAGGTTAGTGACGGAGTTATGTCAGTGAGTAATGGCAGTGGGATTTGTGTGGATGAGCTAGACGAGGACGACGAAGGCGGTGTTAAAAGATATAGAGATGGAATGACAGTTCGCGAGCTTAGTCGGTTGTGGAAATACCTTGGCGGTGCAGATCCGGATATGGATGGGAGGCAACCTCTGATGAATTGAATTGTTTCATTGCTGTCGGGTTTTGTTGGAGACTGATAAGTTATAAAGGTGACGAAAGATGGGGCTCAACTGAGCTACAGATAAGATAAGATCGCCCTTGCCAATTATGTCATTAGCGTCACCTTTTTTTAGAGCTGGACTCTAGGCATTGACCATTTTCAAAAATTGTTCAAAATGTTGTTCCCGTTTATTTAACGACCTCAACCAAGCAAGAAGTCGAACAACCCCTTCTGGCCCCTTGCTTCTTCGAAGGCCATTCTCCATTATTTGTCCTTTGTATTATCTTTGTTTTTTTGATCATTTTCAACGGTCTCTCTTTTTGAACGAATGGTACTATTTATCTGAGTAATGGAGCCCCTGTTATGTAGTCCCTCGCTCTGAAATATAAAAAAAAGCTCCACGTCGATTTTGATTGATTATAACATTTCGGAGATAGGGGTTATGGCAGGTGCGCCGCGAGGAAGCCTTGAAGTGGACTATCTATCTCTTATATACTAGTACTATATATACTTGATATCCATAGGATGTCTTCGTATTTGTGTTTCAAACTAACGGCTTTCTTCCATCTGAGTGACATATATATATAACCTATACTCTATCCCCGATTTCCCATTTGCGTCCGTTTCCTGTGATGCCATCATCGTTTGCCTCGCCGTACCCTCAGAGCACGCAGAGAAATCTATAGAAGATTGTTTCGCAAAAGGTTGAGGCATTGCTTCCGGCGCATAAACAAGAAAACCTTCGTATGGATCATAAGAATGCAAGAGGAATGGCTTGAGGTGAAAATTTGAACCTGGGGGACTGCAAGGGGCGGAAAAGCAGGGGTGACCTGCTCCGGAAGCATGCCAAGGAGTTTGAAAAAGTACAAATTAATGGTGGCAGAGAAGGAGAAAGGAGCGGCGGGAGAGAAAAATGGATCTTGAAATGAAACAGGAGGAGGAGGAAGCTGTGTTGTTTATGGGAGCCCGTCAAGAAGTTGCCTAGCACCATGTAGCGAGGTTTCTACGTCGTCGCTTTGTGTGGTGTGAGGATTCCAATGCCGGGATAGGAGTTGCAATTCCACTCCCAAAGCATGGGGTGAAAGCGGTCGAGGGCCCACCCAGCCTCAGGCGTCGCGCATTTGGAAGCCAGCAGCTGGTTTAAGGCAAAAGCTGACGATTACCTCAAATGTTGAGGAGACATTGGTAAAATCCTTCGTTCTGACTCTTGGGCGCTTAGCACCAATATCTCAAACAGAGTTTGCAGAGTTCATCCAGAAGATTTTCGGACTTGAAGCCGATATCATGATCCTCTCTGCGGAACCCAATCTCAAGCTCTACGGGATCAAAAGGACTGCAAAGTCTGCGGCGTCTCACATCGGCCTTGCTGACCCATCCTGGAATTTGGCACTGGAGATATTCGTCGGATTGCTAACCTAGCTATTGCCGTTGCGATTCGACGGAAAGCACCCGAAATTTTTTTGCCTCTGTTCCTGAAGGAATTAGAAAAACTCCAGGTAACACCTGCTCATCCGATGCATCCGATGCCCCTCCGTTTGGGACAAGAGTGTTTACCTGCTATGCAGGATAGCGTCAATCGGATGAAGGAGGCAGGTCTCCCAGATATAACAGCAGTTCTGGGCGTGGATCTCACGCCAATGCATGAGTTTCAGAAGGGATGCAGTTTCTCCATGGACGAAGAAGCCGCTATGGAAAATGCTATTTTTCGTGTTGATATCCATGTCTTTTGGTGTTTCTTGTCTACTATTCGGCTTGTGGACGAGATGTTGTATATTTTACATGTGCGTTTGTGTATACTAGTATTGAATGTATGATAGCATGTGAACAACGGAATTGCTGGCTTCTTCGGGGACTTACATTTCATGGAGTGTGACGAGCGAAGAGTAACTGCTGCTGTAAGCATCCATGCAGGGTAGCTACGTGCATAGAGGAGCTCCTCCGACTTTGACTGTTCTTGACCATCGGGATTAGCTATGAGTGCTGTGAAATTATCGGATATTTGGCTGTGCTGGGTGTGTAATTCGCTGTAAATTTTTTTTTTTTTTTTCTCTTTTTCTTTCCAGGCCAGAATCCATATATTTAGCTTCGTATCGGGAAAACTAATGACGTCGAGCCAAACCAACTACCAACCTCTATCCAATGCTGAGAGTGCTGGACAGAATCACGAACAACACTCGCAGTACACTAATAGCAGCAACAACTGACAGCATAACAAGGTATTTGGCAGGACGAACTAATGACAATCACTAAACGAAGCCGCCTTAACTCGCGATAATATGAGAACGGCCCTTTGGCTGGGCCGTCTCTGTCCGAAACCCACATCTCAACTATGTCGCTCTCTGCTAGGTGGAATCCCTCCTCCCTCTTCCGCTGGTCACCCGCACCTCATACGCCAGTTATGTCGTCAACACCATGGCCGGAAATCCCTTCACCACAATTACTTTCCATGGCGGAGCTACCACTCCCCTCGCCGCCCACATACCTGGCCCAAGACAAAATATTTCCTATTGGCCGCCACTCTAACTCCAGCTGCCTTCCTCCAGCTCGCTGAAAACGGCATTGAGGATGACACCACGACCGCGGAGAGCGAGATGCTTGCCGCATCCCGCGAGGAAGCGCGGCGGGTGGTTCCAGACGACCTACATGGCATCGTCGGGTTCTACCGGAGTGTATATATTTTCGTGGATCGGTATGTTGTGGAGCCCGTCGCGACGGCGCTGCGAATTTTGTATCTCGTTGCGATTTTTGTGCCAGTGATTGCCACTGTGCCGGCGATTTGGATTGGTCGGAGAGTGAAGCAACGGGATGGGGAGAGGAGTGGGACGCTTTGGTGGTATAGATTTTTAGTTGGGGGGATGGAGAGGGCCGGGCCGGCGTTTATTAAGGTGAGTGGGCTTTTTCCTTCCGTCAAAAGAAGGGGAACGAAGGTGTGATTCGGTAATAGGAAGGGTAGATGGAATTTTACTAATTAAATCCGTGTTTAAATAATAATAATATAGCTAGGTCAATGGGCGGCATCGCGGTCTGATATATTTCCCCCAGAGTTGTGCGCGGAGATGTCTTCACTACATTCGGACGCTCCAGCTCACTCATTACATGCTACAAAGCAGATTATAAGCAAAGCTTTCGACCTGCCGTTTGAAGATATTTTCGAAGAATTTGACGAGAAGCCCCTAGGGGTTGGGGCTATTGCACAAGTATACAAGGCAAAGCTGCGTCCGGATCTTGGTGGGCAGGATAAAATAGCTTGGGATGATAAGCCGCGAAACCTGCGCGCTAAATTGAAAAGGAATGTGGATACATTGGTTAAGAGCAGTCCGCAGCGGGTGCCTTCGTCGTATGTTGCAATAAAAGTACTACATCCTCATGTTCAGAGAATTGTGCGGCGAGATCTCCGGATCATGACCTTTTTTGCACACCTGATCAATGCAATTCCTACAATGGAGTGGTTTTCTTTCCCGGATGAAGTAAAGCAGTTTGGAAACATGATGCGACTTCAGTTGGATTTGCGGATTGAAGCTGCAAACCTCCAGATTTTCCGTAACAACTTTAAATCGCGGACGACTGCATGGTTCCCATATCCATATTCTGAGTATGCGACCAGGGAGGTACTGGTTGAGGAATATGCCCAGGGCATCCCACTATCTACATTCCTGGAGAGCGGTGGGGGCGTATACCAACAGGAAATAGCCCGTGAGGGGCTTGATGCCTTCTTACACATGCTTCTTATCGACAACTTCGTCCATGCGGACCTCCACCCCGGCAACATCATGGTCCGTTTCTACAAACCAGGTCATCTCGATCTCTCTCTCAAGACTTACCGACCAAACACGCCCGCTAGAGAAAAAACCCAAGTCGATGAAACAGAATCAGTCCTCGACCGTCTCCGGCCTCACCAAGGGGACCCAGAGAAGTGGAATGCTGTTCTCTCAGAGATCGACAAGGAAGGTTATCGGCCGCAACTCATCTTCATTGACACAGGCCTCGTCACTCAGCTTAACGGTCACAACCGTCGCAACTTCCTCGACCTGTTCCGTGCAGTGGCTGAGTTTGACGGGTACAAATCTGGCCACCTAATGGTGGAGCGATGCCGGCAACCGGGCGCTGTGATCGACCCGGAGATATTTGCTCTGAAGATGCAGCATCTCGTATTGGCGGTGAAGGGGAGAACCTTTGCGCTAGGCAATGTCAAGATTGGCGATGTCCTGAGCCAGGTGTTGTATATGGTGCGCGCCCACCACGTGCGGCTTGAGGGAGATTTTGTCAATGTCGTCATATCTATCCTTTTATTGGAAGGGATTGGGCGGAGTATGGACCCCGAGTTGGATTTGTTTAAGAGGTACGTTCCTATTTCTTTTCTTGCCTTTTTCCAACTGTTTTCTGAACAAGACATGCTGACCTGTATTGTCAGCGCACTCCCCATCCTCCGGCAACTTGGATCTGGCACGACATTGCTCAAATCCGTGCGGGAGGGTGATACGTCGATGCTGAAGGTATGGGTTGGGCTTGAGGCGCGGACATTTCTGCAAGCAAGCATTGAGAGTGTTGAGATGTGCGTTAAGTATGATCTGCTCTCACCAAATATTTGAAGGGTGAGTATTATTTCATTCATGAGATAATTGATTAGACCAATAGAGCGGCGGGACTTTGTCTATTAAGTAGACGAGGTGGCTCCTTTTTATTTTTTTATTGCTCTTTCTGTGTGATATATTATATATTCTTCCCAATTTATTTTTCGACTATATATATATGGATATATGTATATACCTATCATCCTATCTACATATCATACATCATGCATTCGCCCATGCTCTATAGATATTTTTGCTTGTAACATGTTCAAATATATATGGGTGTCCGTGCGATGCCATGAACAAGGTTAAGCCAACTAAATATGGGACTCCTTGCCAGCGGGCAAAGGGGAGCCACAGTCAAAGGCTATGGTTCACTGGCTGACATCACATTCGCCCCGGCTGGGAAACTTTTTGCAAAGCACCAATGAGGCCTAAACAAGTTACATAAAAAAACCTGCTCTATCCCATGTTGACTAGAATTAAACGGTTCAACATCAACTGCCAGATCGCCGAACGGTCTTGATAGGAGGACACGGCGGTGAAAGCGAAAAAATATTCGGCTACCCCTCTTCATTTGACGTTGTCTGATGCTCTAGTGTTTTCGTTTCTTTTTCCACTTCGTTCTCAAGTATTGATTTATTTAGATTAAAAACTCCAAAAACTAACTACTCCTCGCCGTTTCATATCATGATCGATATCGACTTATTTTACTGTGCATCTGCAATATTTATCTATAACGGATAAATCGTAACACATTAATAAACTTTCGAACCAAGGTTCAGGCTTGCCTTCAGTTTGGTCCGCAGCTTGAAACGCCTCTTCTGCGACTTTACAAATCGCGTTCAGGCATGTTATAAAACCAGAACTTCAGCCATTATACTAAAAGGAGATTTTCTCCCTTTCCAAGGTTTCAAGCCCGGGGTTTTGTGTCTTGAAGCCAAAAACATCATACATATGCCCGGCCCCTTGAGAGCAGGCGATGCAGACGCCGGATTCTATCCCACGCCACTTCCGCCGACCGGGCGACGATGGATACCGTACGCCTACAATCGAAGATGTTGAGAAATATTGCGAGTTTCCATTCGTAGACGAATTGCTATGTGTATCGGAATCACAATGTGACATTCCTATTACGCCCGTCCTTGATCGACTCCGTTCTCGCGCATCTCAATACACTACCGGCTCGAAACACATCGGCCATGATGCCACTACAACTGGAATGCAACTTAACGAGAGGAAGTCGACCAATATTTCCGAAGCCTTCAACAATTACAATAAAGATGCTGATTCGCTGCCGCTGGACTTACCTTGGAAAGAGAGAATTCGACACTTTACCTGGGCGTTTTTCACGCTGACGATGGCCACGGGGGGCTTGGCGAATGTGTTATATTTAAGTATGTCAAAACAGATATAATGAAAAATATATTGATAGACTTGTTATATCCCTCTGCGGTCCATGTCTATTTTCTCCCATATGTGCCAACCTTACTTCTACTTGGATATGAATACTAAAAGGGCCGGCCAGTTCCATACCGCTTCCGAGGCCTAGATACAATAGGCAGTGTTGTCATGCTTATCAACATTTTCTTATACTGCTGCATCTGGGGCCTGTTGCTCACACGGTTTTATTACTACCCATATACATTCAAAGCATCCATCACGCATCCGACAGAGTCTCTATATGTTCCGGCGTCGATCGTCTCGTTTGGGACAATCCTCATTAATCTCTCACAATATGGCCCTCCGAAAGCCGGAGAATGGCTCAGTACAACTATGTGGATCCTATTCTGGGTCAACGCCACACTGGCTGTAATATTTTCTGCCGGCATATATCTGACTATGTGCGTACCTTGTATCCACTTTTTGAACATCTATTGACTCGGTTTTGTCTAGATGGTCAACTCAAACCTTTACAATCGCCCAGATGACACCTGTGTGGATATTCCCCGCGTACCCGATGCTGATCATCGGTTCTCACGCCAGCGTGTTAAGCAAGAGCTTATCGCAGAGACGGTCTCTCGACATGATAATCGGAGGCACGACCATCCAAGGCGTCGGCTTTCTTGTCTCATTGACAGTCTACTCGGCATTCATATACAGACTGATGACGCAGAAGCTGCCGAAGGAAAATCTGCGTCCTGGCATGTTTGTCTCCGTGGGGCCGAGTGCGTTTACAGTCGCTGGCCTGGTGGGTATGGCCAATAATACGAGCCGGGCGTTCCCGCCGGGCTTCATGGGCGACGGCCGTTTGGCTGCAGATGTCATTCGAATCGTGGCGAATTTCACTGCGTTGTGGCTTTGGGGGTATGTTTATTCATGCATGATACGTATCTTCTGAAATCATTATGTGTAGAAGCGAGACACTAACGCAAAAAAAACTATAAAATAACCCAGCCTCGCCATCTTCTTCTTCTTCATTGCCGTCTTCGCCCATTGGTCAGCCGTTGGCCGTGGCCGCATGATCTTCTCCATGACCTGGTACTCATTCGTCTTCCCCAACACGGCGCTGGCGGCTGCCACTTTCGCCATTGGCAATGCATTCGGGTCTGAGGCGATCAAGATCATAGGCTGTGTGATGGCCGTTCTGCTAGTGGTGACATATTGCTTCGTTACGAGTATGATGGTGCGGGCAATCATTTTGCGCCATATCTTATGGCCACGGAAGGGCGAGGATAAGGATGAGGGTGGGTTTAAGATGAGCGAGATTCAGCCAGCTGCGCCCCCGATCCAGGGTGGATAAATTACCAAAGATCGGTAAGAGTGGATTAGTAGTTTAACACAGTCAGATTTTTTTTTTTTTCTATTTTTCTCCTTAGTATATATTTTCGTTTTCTTTTTCGTTTCTTTTTTCTTGGCTGGGGGGAGAGCTCGAGGAAGATTGTCTGGGTTTTGTGATACCCATAACAGCTCTTGATTAGGTTGTTACTTCCTCTTTTCTTTTCTTCTTGGCTGATATATATATATATATGTGTGTGTGTGTGTGTGTGTGTGTGTGAATGGTGTTTCCATTGGAGTTAGGGAGTCAAATGGATGAAGTGAAAAATTGGATGCCCAAATAGATATAATTCACCTCATTTTAGCATCCATCGGTAAATATAGAACAGCATACTTCATTTAAATAGAATTGACTTCATCAGATGATGAAAATCCACGCCTCCACAGTCTTAAACAACCCTCCTCACCTTCCCCGTTTCAACCTCATACACCCATCCAGAAATAGGAATCCCAGACGTAACGAGCACATGCTCATTCAACCACTTAACATCCCCCCTCACAGACTCCTCAAGCTGTGGAAAGGGCCGAAAGTCCGCCAGCTCGCTCCTCAACGCCTGGCGCACCTTCAACCCGATATCCACAGTGCTTTGATCACCATCAGCAGCAGCAGCAGCAACATCGCCCACTAAATTTTCCTCAGCGAGCGCATGTGCCTGTTCATTTGTAAATGTCAACATGCCACAGCCCGTGTGCTTGACGAGTAGGATCTCTCGAGTTCCCAGCAGCTGCTGCGAGATTACAATAGAGCGTAGAGCGTCGCTGGCGTCCGCACCGGCGTTGCGGATTACATGGGCATCGCCGAGGGATATGCCGAATGCAGCGGCAGGGTCGATGCGGGCGTCCATACATGTTACTGGTAAACAGTGTTAAGGTGTTTCTTCCGGGAGAGATTGGGGAGGGGATGTATTATCCATGGACATACGGACGAGGTATTTCTTCGCGGGTGGCAGGGCTAGGTGGCCCTGATCAAAGGTGTTTGCATACTGCGTATTTTGGTCGTGGAGATTTTGTTGGATTGGAGTTGCCATTGTCGTGGCTGTTTCGTGGTGTTTAGTATATTTACGATGCAAATAAGCTGTGCCTTTAGAATAAGATCTGGGAATATTGTAAATTTATATATTCCCTATCGTGATTCTAAAGTTGGGTGATGTGAATGCCATAATTAGTAGACGATCTCAAAATATCTATGGGGTATTGATTGTTATTCTCATAGATGGCATCCAGTCCCATTTGCAGTTTAGATTGGGGTATAGCATAAAAGAACAATCATCTTAAAGTCAAGCCTGTTGATTATTTGTCTTACAATATAACAAATAAACTGCGAATATCCACTTTGGGGGAAACATGGCAGTTTCATCTTAAATATTTTCATAGGAAAGTGAACATCTTGTCCTTTGCAATATATGAAAGCTGTCACTCACATGAACAAGAAGTAAATTCCACTTGGAGCCTTTCACATAGCCTGTGGTCTTGATGCCAGCTCGAATATCGGGATCCGAAATCTCCAGTTCCTCTCAACTATATTGACGTATTGGCATCTTGGAGAGTAGAATGGGATATATATACGGAGTTCTCCTCCTCCAACCCCCAGCCCCTCCACAACTATTTTCCATCCCCTCGCTCATCTCGATCGTCAGAGCATAAAATGTCACAGAAGGGATATCACGCATTGAAGAGGAACGATTAGCTCATTTTGAACAAATGGCACAAGGTTCAAATGACGCCATGTGACGGCATGAGGGGCCATCCCCTCAATTTTTGGAGCGTTAACAGCGTTGCTCTTTCTTTTGCTTTTTCCCTCTGCATTGTTGCCCTATGAGAATGAGCTTTCTAAAATGCGGGGAAATTTTGCTTTATTTTCTCCAGGTTGTCAGTAGCGCTCTCGGTGAGGGAGTTTATGAAAAGTATCAGTAAGAACTCACATTACGCAGCATATGAAAATTGCTTGTTCGGTTTCCATATATAGATACACCCCGGATGGTTGATTGTGGAGAGTGAAATATCCCGGGTTTATCCACAAGAATACGATCATACAATGCCTCAAATATATATTTGTATATTCGCGGCGTCGGGTAATATCATTCTCATCCAGCACCTCAGGCACATGCAGTTTCCGCGCTTCGAGACAAATAGCACCCAGCAGCCATGTAAGAAAAACTTGACGGCCGCTGGATATCAAAGACCTCAAGGACGTTGATTGAGGTCATGATGTCCTATAAAATAGCCGTAGATAGACAGCTGAGCTCGATCCTCTGCTGCCGGGAACCAGGTCTCCCTGGTGGTGGAGAGTCTCTAGCGCGAGGCTAGCCGGTCAGCCAGCGTTATAAATGGCGGGCCTGCCAGTTCCTCTCTCATAGGAGATTTAAAGGTTTGTCCTTGCGGCACACTATCCATTGATCGGAATCGTGTTCACGGTGTTCAGTGAGAAATCGCCGATATGGGTGATGTCAAACCTCTCCTCCTAGAAGTCAAATATACTATATCTGTCTGCCAGGGAACCCTCAAAGTCTAAGGCTGTTATTATATGAATCCTAGATGTGAACGGCTGGAGGCTCCAGGTAACTGTGGCCGGAAACAACTCCAATTTGAAGAGAGCCAATTTCTATCCGTTACTCAGAATTTGTGTAACCGAGGACTCTGAGTCAAGTAACGGTTGTATCTTTTGTCCCAACCGTTTTATCACAGCCCCTGTGAGACGGGATTTTGTGCGGTTTTTCCACTGCAACAGAAGGATCAATCCCTCGTCTTACAACGGATACCTGCACCAAGGCTCTATCTAGTGATTGTTAAACCAGATTGAAGCTTCGGGAACTCAAATTAACTGCCTTGATACTTCTCTCAGTCTTGGGATTTGGCCGGATATCATGTGATATGCGCTTTCTCAACCCAGACTTATTGGTTGAGCTGAGCTTCTAAATCAAACCATAACAATTCTTTTCTGGATACGTCTTTGTCAAAAAATTACCACGAATTCGTTTTCCTGGAAGGGGAACAATCACAAGTATTCTTATTGCCAATGGCTGACAACCGCAAATCCGTCCTGATCACAGGGTAGGTTGTGTGAAAATCTATATTTTCATATACACATATTTTACGTATCACACGAATAGCCGAGTTTGCTGACTGCGCAATACGCATATACAGCTGTTCTCCCGGTGGCATTGGCCATTCCCTGGCGCGAGAGTTCCACCGCAACGGCCTTCGCGTCCTCGCGACTGCAAGAGATAAAAGTTCACTCATCAGCCTCAAAGAACAGGGGATTGAAACGCTGAGCTTAGTCGTGGATAAGGAGGAGAGTAGGAAGGCATGCCGTGATGAAGTTGAGCTTTTGCTCAAGGGGAAAGGTCTTGATTATCTGGTTAACAATGCGTGGGTGCCCAACTTTTCTTGAATTGATCAACCAATGCTAATTTAAAGTAGTGGATTAGGTATGTTAATTTCTGCCGTCGGAATAGGAGGTCTGAAAAATTAAGACATGAGAACAACTCTGCTATGCTTTAGGCATGCATTGTCGAACATATATTAACCCTGGATGAACTAGGCTATACCGTCCCTGTCTTGGACGTTAACCTCCAAAAAGCCCGAGAAGTCTTTGAGACGAATTTCATCTCAGTCATTGCAATGTGCCAAGAATTCGCACCGCTGATTATAAAGGCCAAGGGCACAATCGTTCAAATAGGGTCCGTTGCAGGAGTAAGTGTTTTTAAGTCCTTATTGATACATTTTCGTTTCTGGGTAGATTTCACTGACAATTCATCCCAGATAATCCCATATGTCTTTGGAGGCGTTTACAATGCGTCAAAGGCCGCCCTCCACTCTCTCAGTGATTCTCTCAGAGTAGAACTTGCGCCATTCGGGTTCGTTGAAACCCCTCCTTCGAGTTCAAGACAGCTATTTCATTCCCTACCCAGATAACCACCCTTGCGCCCACCTAAAAAAAAAAATTATTGCATCAAACCAAAGCCAAATTAGCGGACCGCGAAAGCTAACCATACCATTTCCATTCCTGATTCTCATAACACCAGCGTCCAAGTAACAACCATAATAACGGGCGGCGTGAAATCTAACATCGCGCGTACAGCCCACACCCTCCCTGAAACCTCCCTGTATCAGCCCGTCAAAGCCGAGTACGCACGACGCATCGGCCACAGCCAGGAGGGCGCCTTGTCAAACGAAGCCTATGCACGAACCGTAGTGACCCAGATCTTGTATGGGTCGGCCCCGTTGCGTTGGATCCGCTGGCTGCTTCTGTGGCCGTTTGGGGGCCGTGGAATACGCCGCAGTGGTAAGTATGTTTGGGCAGGGAATCGGTCAACTCTTTTATGGTTTTTGAATTGCGGGTGGACGTGGTTTGGTTTGATCCAGTGGTGGATGGCCAGGACATTTAATTTGTGGAAGTTGAAGAAGTGAAGGGTGAGGTGGTGAGAAGTGGATGAGAGGGGGATGGATGATTATGATGGAGAGAGACTTGGGTTTGGAAGGTATTTTGATAAATTCCCCTCTCCCTATTGTACTGTACTAGTCGTCTATAAAATCTGAGAAGCGCTTTTTGACCTAAAAGGGCGTCGCGAGTGTTCTTCATCTGCGAGATCGCGACGATATGATGGGGGCATGATTGAATACCCATCCTTCCAAGGTAGCCAAATTGGGACTATTTCTAGTGGTTTAGGGCCCCCGATTGACGAGCCATTTTACCACATATATGGATCCGAATACTCATTGATTCTAGAAATGTACAATGATGATATTTCAACTAGCCAGTCCACTCTACATTGAGTAGAAAGGGGAAATAAGAGTAGAACATGGTCCAAGAATGCACATAAGCCCAAGCAAAGCAGTAAATAAGAAAATACATAAGTACACTTATGCGAAAATAACAAACTCTAAAAGGTAATAAGGTACAACAGAAAAGGGTAATGGCATCCAATGGCAACAACGGCACAAAAGGGGGTAGGGCCGTGGGCGGTGCGGAGCTTGCACAGCACCGTAAAAGTTTATTTTATCCAGAAAATCACACAGAAAAACAGAGAACCCCTCACATAGGCATCCCACGGGTTCTAAATTAAGGAGGTAGAAATGAAAGGCGGCAAAGAGTTATGCAAGAGGGGATAACCTTGTTCTTGATGTCGAAAGAGGTTTACTGTTAAGAATGCAGAGTTGCACGCGCTGTCGCATACTCCCAGGAACACCACTTGCAGTTTCTTTTAAACATAGTGTCACAAACGAGAGCATGGTTTCCTGCATCAGGCAGCTAGAAACCGTGTGCGCGTGGGTGTGTACCGTATTGATTAGAGAACCAGGAGGCTGAAATCGTTATCATGAATACGTACGTATACAAATACACATCCCCGGGGGTTGGGCGGGTTGCAGACATGGTGACGTATGCGCGGAGCGTATCAAGAACAAGGGAGACAGATAACGGTAAAGGAGAGGAATGGAAGAAAGAAAATAGCACAACTCAGAGACCATGTGGCTTTTCATTTAAATACCAAGCGAGAACTCTACGCCCACGTCGATATCACGGGCCATTTTGACGACTTTGGAGAACTGGACAGATTTTTCAGCGGCATTTTGCAGATCTTCCATGGAAAAGATTTTGAGGCCGGATTCGTTGATCTATTGGTTATGGTTAGCTAATTTTATCACATTGTTATTTTTGCAGAGAGGGCTCCGTGGTAATTAGGATGGATGGCCATACCAGCTCGTGCGCTTTAGCCATGTTGGTTCCTTGCAAACGTGCGACAATCGGTGTGCGAAGATTCATTTCGTTAACAACATTGATCAAACCTTGAGCGATGGCATCACATCTAACGATACCACCGAAAATGTTGACAAAAATGGCAGTGACCTTGGGGTCGCTGGTTATTAGCTCGAAAGCAGCTCTAATAGCTTGTGGGGTAGCACCGCCACCAACGTCGAGGAAGTTGGCGGGATTGCCACCGTTGAGTTTGATAATGTCCATGGTTGCCATTGCAAGGCCAGCGCCGTTGACTTTGGGGGCCGTAAGCAAAGAATCATCAAGTCAGCGGTTAAATTGTTGGCTTACCCAGACACCCAATATCTCCGTCCAATTTAATGAAGTTCAATCCAGATCTAGAACACATTCCTTGTCAGCGAGTAAACTTATAGAAAATGAAATTTGGGGAAACGAACTCCGCAGCCTTGACCTCATCCGGGTCTTCCTGGGTAGTATCTCTCCATGAGAAAATTTCCTTTTGTCTAAATTCGGCATTATCATCAAATCCAAGCTTAGCATCCATGGCAAGAACTTCATGCTCAGTAGTCTCACAAAGAGGGTTTATCTCGATTTGTGTGGCATCCTTCTCCATGAAGACTTTGTAAAGCTTTTGAATGGTATTCTTGGCTTCTTCCAAGCATTGTTCCGAAAATCCCAGGTCCTTGGCAATATTCCTTGCCATCTCATCCGTGACACCGACATTGATGTCGACACTGGTAGTGGTGATGGCATCGGGCGTTTCCTTGGCGACTGTCTCGATATCTACACCACCTTGTGATGAAGAAACGATGACTGGTGCTTGAGTCTGCCTATCCATCAGAATAGCTAGGTAGAATTCTCGTCGGGCAAATTTGCGCTCGCAGATATATACGGCATTGCAGATGCGACCTTGGGCGCCGGTTTGTTTAGTGACGAGCTTGTGGCCGATCATCTGATCCGCAAACATCTTGGCCTCAGTCGGTCTACATCTCAAGTTCAGCATAGATTCTATGTGTTAAGAAAAAGGGCGCACACGAGAGGGAAAAAAAACGTACGAATATATAACGCGCACACCACCCTTCAGGCCATTATCAAAAGTGCCCTTCCCTCGGCCACCGGCGAGAACCTGAGCCTTAATCACCAGATCCTCCGCACCTATTAGAGATCCATTAGCAATACGGACACCCATTTATCCCGTATCGAATGGAACGGACCAATCTGTTTGGCTACAGCTTCTGCTTCCTCTGCGGTTCGGGCAACTTCGCCCTTAGGAACGCCTACCCCATACTATATCCACCCTTCATCAGTGCCATCCCTATCATTTTCTATTCCGGCATGGCCCGGAGAAGTACGTACTGTTTTCAGGAGGTTTGCGGAGAGGTATTCATGGATGGAGAGGTTTCTTCTTTGCTGCTGGGCAAAGCGACTAGGAATCGGCGTCCTCTGTAAGGGAGATGGGATAAAAATTAGCATCGACTACGCCCTGTACTAGGCCATAAGTATTGGCAATACCCCACTACTTCTCTGTCTCAAAAAAGTACGATAACTTTGACGGGCTTGCCAATATTGATTTCCTAGTACTATTTATGTCTTTTCTCTGATCGGGGCTGTTGTTAAATGGTAGCCAGAGGAGAGTTTGACAACTTACTGCAGAGGCTCTGAAAGTCGCAGCAATTGGATTGCTACGGACGAGTTTGAACATCGTGGGCAATTCAACTCGGCGAGGAACACAAAAGAGATGGTATAATAAAGAAGAAAAGAAAACGGTGGAAGGATGGAAGGAAGAAGCAGTGGGGAGAGTTCGCTGCGGTTGGATGAGGTCGCAGTAGTATTGGACCGTATATCCAAGCTACGGATGTGGTTTAGTGGTAAAGAACATTGTCACGCTATGTACGTATTTTTAGTATATTTCTTTGGTGAGAGACATGATCTACAAACGTTGTTATAGGCATCTGCCAATAACTTCAAAATGTCTATCTCCACATCCGAAGCAGATATAGTCTTCAACAGAGCGAACGTGGCCCTGGCACGCAGCCAGCGCCTCATCGCATCATGGCTGCCCCCCAAAACTGCTGAAGAGATCGCCAACACGAAAACCGAGGAGGAACTACTGCGGGAAGAGGACGAGATATTTACCCCCGTTCCGGAGAAGTGTGTTATCATCCTTTCAATCAGTCCTGCCCACCCCCACGTATACACCATCGTTGCGCTCTATAAATCAGTTATATGTCGCACACTAAATAGAACTCTAACTGGCTCCCCTTCTTTCCAGGCTAGGACTCGGTGCACCCGTCCCAAAAAGCCAGGAAGATAACAGCTTCAATCGCACAGAGCTCAGCGCCAACGAGAAACTACGAAAACAGCTTCTGGGCAAGAATTACAAGAAATTCACTTCAAACATGCCGGTGAATGGTTCACGGGATCCTCGACTGCTGCTGGAGAAGAAGCAACAGCAACACCGCCAACATGCCAAAGAACAACCACAAAGCGATGACGAGGATGAAGGACGATCTTCCTTGGGCAGGAATAAAAGAAAGATCGTAACGGAGAAGACAATTCAGGCTGGGGCAGATGGTGGTGCTGCTATAGCTACCCCTACGACGACTGCAACGACAATTGGAAATGGCGATATTGACGACCTTGAATCAGATGATGGAAGCCCGCAACGCAGCGCTCAACGGAAGAAGCCGGCCAGTTATCTCGACGAGCTCTTATCGGAACGATCGAAAAAGAAAAAGAGGAAAAAGAACAAAAAGCAGTCGTAGCAGTTTATGTAGCAGAAAAATTCAACCCATTGAAAATGGCTGATTCTAAAACGTGGGAGTTCGGGCACCATTTTTCCTTTCCTCTGTGTGCTCTTTTACATTGATGGAAAACTCAGCAGGCAGTATAAATAGATCGCGGGGCCCCTGGAATAAATTTACAGAATCGATTCCACATTTTTCGTAGATATAGGGAAATTCTGTTGCGAAGATTGAACCCCAATCAGTTCCCAACATCTTTGGAAAAAGGGGTGAGCTGAGCTGACCAGTGCCATCGGCGGATATCTCATGTGCATGGTGCATATAGTTATAAGTTGATAGCAATGGGATCCGGCACATATAATCAAGTTGATTTGGTTTAAGAGGAGGGGTGGAACTGGACTTCTCACCACCTTGGGCAAACCTCTGCCACATATGTCAATCTCTGCCCCCTCAATGCAAATATCTCATACACCATGATTCGGCATTTTATTATTATTCGATTGTCTTTGAGAAGATATCTAGATTTTCATGAAATCAGCACTTGATGGATCTTTAATGCTTTGATTCTGATAAATTTTTAGAGAAATGTAAAATATATATATTAAATATCTATTTTAATAAAACAATTAGTTTGTTGTTCATGATGAATGTAATCAATTGTTAATCATATCTTGATTTTGACTTGGTATCAATCATATAACTTTTGCTACCTTGGCATCGTGCACCAAGCAGCGGAATTGTCATGCCACAACACCTGCAGGCGTATGCTACGGGCTCCAATAACAAGTCGCCGCTGTATTGTGTGTGACCTTTATAAGACTGCCTAGGATATCTCTTGGGAACCAGTTGACGTTGTGCCGAGATTCAATGCGTCTCTAATCTACGTCCCGCCCCACTCCACCCCGCCCCGCCCCATCCCATCCCAGTGCGATCCCATGTTTCTTGCCTGGCCCACGACTAGCCGACCGACTAATAGTAAAAGGGAAAGATTTTGGGGCATAAAATTGAATTGGGTCGGATTGGATGGGTTGGTGGAAGTGGCTGTTTTGTTTGTTGCTTTTTCTCAATGAAGTAAATAAATGTAGAAGAACAAAACGAAGCATAAATCAACGCATATTTGATTAGCCAAATCAATTTTTTAAATGACAAATGCGACTAATCCGACATATACATATTCCAAACAATTCCGACATTCCAATAAGCATTATATATAGAATATAGTAAATAGTAACGTAGAAAAAGGTTGAACAGCCAAGCCAAACCAAGGTCAACACTAGACAGGTCATATATATGTATGCGCTTCTTTTAAAAAACCACAGAAATAAAAAAAAAAAATGGTGTATCACAAGTTATAATCAAGAAAAAGAAAGAATGTAGGGTTAAGTAGCTAATTGAGTAAATGAGAAGAAGGGAGGAAGAGGAATGAGAAAGGAAGGTGGGAGGGAGAAGTAAATGAAAGAAATAAGAAAACACGGTTTGGTTTGGTTAGAGATGAAATTGAGTTAGTCCAAGCAAGAAGATAAGAACAAAATATTGTTACCAAAACAAACCACAGTTTGGGGGAAAGGTGTGGACCTGCCGTGCTGTGCCGTGCCATGACTTATAATATAAACAAACATGTCAGGAGGCAGAATTATAAAAAGAAATAAAAAAAATAAGTAAATAAAAAATAAAACTAAAAAAATCATCTAGCAAAACATACGCTCGTTTCCCCTCCGCAGTTCTTATTGTAACCGCTTCCTTTTTCGATCCTCCCCAACCCCATCATCCTCGCCCGGCCGCTCCCGCTCCGCCGTCGCCGCTGTCGGATTCAATAGCGAATGCACATTACTTGCCATACTCGACCGGCGCGTGGCAGGCAACGAGTCCCCAGCTGGGCGAGGGAATTTCGGCCCGCCAACAGACCATCCACTTTCCGGATTCAACGAGGAGGACGAGGACGAGGAGTGTGCAGCGAGTGGGTGTTGGGGTGGGTGTGGGTGTGTTTGTGTTTGCGAATATGTATGTGGATAAGGCGGGTGCGGTGCTGCACCGGGTAGCTGGGGTGGGGCGGCGACGGGGTCGATAGATATGGGCGGCGGTGGGGAGGAGTGTCTGGATGTGTCTTGGTTGGTGTTACGGCGGGGGCAGCCCATTTCATACCTGGCGAGGAGGTTGCGGACATGTTGGTGGTTTGCAGTCGGGAGCGGAGGGGCTTGATTCATGGAGATGTTGTTGGTGTTCGTGTTGTTCGGGTGGTGAGCGGTCTGTTGCGGGGAAGGTGGCCATTGAGGGGAAGCGTGGTTAGGGGCGGAGGGTGAGGTAGCGTTGTTGTTTGTTGCTCCCCAACCATGTTCGCGAATGTCTGCAGAGGTGTGACGGCGGCCGAGATTAGGGCCTGCCGCCGCTACAGAGGAGAGGGGATGAGGGGCAGGTTGTTGGGGTGGGATTTGGGGGCGGTTGTAATTTGGTGATGAGTTAGCGGCACCAATTGACCCGTATCGACGAGGAGATACGGCAAGGTGGGCTGGAACAGGAGCTTGGGCCATGGAGGGGCGCCGGCTCTCGTCTTGAGGCATCTGGCGCGGGGAGAGTGGCGGACCGGAATG